TATGATATTCTTGACTTTAGCTTGCTTGGTGCTAATGAAAACTGACCAACAACTCAACATTAAACTTCAGATTTGTGCCAGTGAGGCTGAGGGTGGGTACTTCCAGAATTAAAGGCTCAATTTGAAGATGCAGTGCTCAAAATGGGTAAACATATACTTTCATGACCTTTTCTTTAGGTGTTTTTATTGAGCTTTCTTAGCTCTTTTTTTTTTCTTCTATCAGTACTAAAATTCAGTTGAATTATGGATCAGATTTCTTCTCTCTGTGATGAAAGACTGAGAAATAGCTTTCACATTAGTCTTTTAGCAGGGATTAACATGACTTCCTTTTTCTACACTAGTCAACTGAAAATGAGAACTGAGTTGTGTAGGGTTTTTTTCTTTGTGAATTAAAAATACATGACATGATATGGCTCAAACTGAACACAGTTACCTCTTCCTTAAACTGATGTTCAGTCCACAGTAAGTCTCTGATTCTTTAGACACTTTTTTAAAATGGAATATTCTGCTTCATTATCAATTATTCCTTTTTTTACCTCTCCTAAGGTAATACTTTGAATCTCTGGCAAAACATGAATCCATTACAACAACAACAACAAAAGTTCAATATTAAAACATGTAAGGACCTGAAGTTTCACGTTGTTCAGAATGTTACTGGTTACCTGCTAAGGGGATTCTTCTTTATTTAAAAAAATTTTGTCCTCTATAGTTGAATGAGCTTGCTAACAAGTAAAATATTTTTTTACTTGATTGCTAAAACACTACATCTGTTTTCTGTCATTAAGAAAATATGTCCTTAAGAAAGAGAGTCTCAGAAGAGTATATAAGGCAGCTTAGGCAGAATCCTTCTTGCAGGGTATTTGAAAACTAAAATAAAAGAAATATGCAATGAAAATGGGAGAGCAAGGATAGATGAAATAAACCAAGTGGTTTAGAGAAATCAAGATAAGGAAAGCACAAGGAAGAAAGCGCAAATCATGAGAGAGGAAATGCTTTATCTTGGCCTCACATCTGATGTGGAACTTCTATGGGAGGTCTTAGCAACATAGAGGAGCACTGCTCCATATAAAAACCTGTGGTTACCTTATGTTGTACTAACACAATGACTTCCCCCCCTTGCCCCAGCCACCCAAGTGCTCACACGCTTGAGCTGTTCAGAAAACTACCTACTTACCGGGTCCAAATAGTGTGGCGGTTAGAAGTACTGAGTTCTGTATTTGATTCTGTAAACTCCTGTAGAAAACTGACTGGCCTGTCTGAAGTTATGATTCTGCCTGTCTTCTTTCCAGGTGGTCTAGTTTGTACTCACTAGCTGATTAAAGTGCTGTGTGATGTTTTAGAAAGAACTACACCTCTTTTAGAAAAAAAGCCATCTAAATCTTTAAGGGAATAAAGAGATTTAAATGGCTTTTTTTCTAAAAGGGAATAGAGAAAATGCTCTTTTACTCAAAGTTTTATCAAGTATGCTCAATCTTGCTAGTATTTACTTAGGAGACCAGTATCTGTAGGCATACAGTGAGATACAAGTTTACTTAAAACCAGTCTTTCTGGTAGCAACTGAAAATTTGGCAAACTGAGCTTGTGATCTAACAAACTTATTAAGGACTATCTCTTATTTTAATCTGGCCTCTTGTCATTACTTATCACTTTGATTAGAATTGTTATGTGCATTTCTTTGCCTACTCCTATTCTGGAAATTAGCCATTCAGAAAGTCCTTGAATCATGAAGATTAGTGGAAACTGATCTTTCAAAGCTGACTGTGTTCATTCCATTTTTTGCTCCCATGAATCATTACAGCATGATGGATGCTGAATTCATCCCCTATTCCCCCTGTCGGAGGAATTGCACAGTAACAGTTTTGGAAAAAAGAAACACGTAAGTGGCCAACAAAGAGAGGAGGGTTTTTTGCTTTCCAAAATATATTTCATTTTTAGATAATCTGAAAGTTTGATTGTGAAAATGCCACATTCTTCTTTAAATTCAATAAATTATTAAACATTCAATTTTTCAGTGTGGCATACTTCACTGATTGGACCTTATTCTAAACAGTGACGATGTTTCTGTAATCATGGAAGGTTAAGACGGAGTCTAATGAGAGGCAATAGTTAAAACTGGAGTTTCAAAACCATGTTGGATGGGCCTTTGAGCAACCTGCTCTAGTGGAAGATGTCCCTGCTCACAGCAGCGGGGTTGGAACTCGATGACCTTTAAGGTCCCTTCCAACCCAAACCATTCTATGATTCTGTGATTCTATGATATTAATTTATTTTACATTCTGGATCAAGTTAACTTAGCAATATAACCCAAGATGCTGATACGTGTAACAAAAACCAGCATTGAAGACCAACACCTGCAGTTTGTATCTTCTAGGTCCTGCTCAACAGCTGAATTTGAAGGCAGCCTATGTAATTGTTGCCAGTAGAGCTCAACCCTTTTACAGTTTTGCTTTTAATAAAGGAGTTTATACATTACACTGGTTCAAATCAAGCTACATTTAAAATATATTCTCCTTGCTTTGTTGCTTGTAGGAATCATTGTATCATTTGTGCATTTAACTTTCAAAACCAAGAATCCTGGATGGTTTTCAGCACACACTGATAGCATTTTGTGAATGAATGTTTCTTAGATTCTTGATCCTTGATATATGAGACAGAAAGACAATCCTTGGCCAGTCAGCCATGTGGAGAAATCCTATCTTTTCTTTAGCTGTAACTTTAAAGATTAGCCTACTAATGATGATGTATTGTGCAAATTAAGTATTTAACATTCCAAAACATATTGATGTGTTTGAATTCAGCTCACCATGTAATCTTCCTTGTTCCTCTTGGCTGATGCACAGTCAAAAGTTCCATTATGTACTATTGAATTTGGAATCAGATTAATGTCTCAAACTTTTCTCTGTTAATAAGTTACATGGCATTAGGGAGAAAAGTAGTTTTTTCTGGAAATAATTGGTTATTAGATTGAAAACAACCATAAATAGTGCTCTGTGAAATTTTTCTACTGATTTCTCATCAGCATAAATGTGTTACAGCAGAAATGGTGTAATTAGAATTGTACATACATTTTGTATTAGGAGAAGAACAGAAACTAAGCTTGAAGACTGGAGTCTTAACCAGAAACTAACAATAATGATAGCATGGTAATTATTCTGTAGCATGCCCACATTTACAAGACCGATTAGACTATTATTATATGGCTAGTCTATCTTTGGGATGATTGTAATGTACTTACCAGTCATGCTTTGGGGGAAAATGGGATTTCCTATTGACTCCCTTCAGTCATCATTGTGTTCCAAGGACGTGATTCCTACAGAGGAAGTACTGGTCACCAGCAGCTGAGGACACTGGCTCAGCAGCAGTGTTCTGCAGAAACAAATGCCCCAGGACCATCTTACTTTGAATTCAGGTAATTTTTTATATGTATGATTGTTACTTTGTATTAACAAAAGTTTAGCAAAGACAGCTAGTGTTAGTTTGCTTTAGTTATCTTGGTTTTAGTCAAAATCCTTCTATTTTGTATTGAATTCTTCAGGTCACAGCTCTTTGCTTAGAGCACAATATAATTAAATTTAACTGGTAGTCAAACAATGAGAAATTGAGAGCTTGTAACATTTTTCCTCCTGATGCTATTAGTCTAGCAGGAAGCAAATTAGTTTTCAGATGTTTCAAAAGCTGATCTTAGAAGCACTGAGATAGCATAACCACAGAGGTTAGATGAAAGTAATCATCTGGTTTCTGTCCATTTTTGAGGTATGTCTTTCTACTTCACTCTGCTTCTGCAAAATCAAACCCTGCATGCACATAAATTTGTAATGGTTCTTACAAGATCAGTGGGAAATGGTGATGTTGAACATCTTAACCATTTAGCCTCTGAGACTCTCCAGCATTCATAAAACTTTACAAGGTGAGTTCAAGGTGCTGCATTTAGTACAGCTGTGGTTTGCTATCAAGTGCTTCCAAATGGTTTGGAACTTGAGGTTAGCAAACTTGCAAATGTGAGGTGGGAGTGCTACCCTGTACAACATCCCTGCCTACTACTAAATGAATCTAGTATTCTACCTCCTGCTTTTTCCTCCATTACTTCTTAAATCATCAACACAGCTGCTTATTTGGGGGAGGAAGTTTAATTTAATTTGCCCAATGACTGGAAATCATCTGTACTTCTTTAAAATGGTTTAGTTTCATAGAATCATTGACTGATTTGGATTGGAAGGGACCTTAAAGCTCATCCAGTTCCAGCCCCCTGCCCTTGGCAAGGACACCTTCTTACAAGACCAGGTTTCTCAAAGCCCCATCCAACCTGGCCTTGAACATTGTCAGGGATGGGGCATTTACTCTGTTAAATAATGAAGTAAGAGGCTGCTTCTGAGGACTAGCCACAACACGGGAAACTCCTCAGCATTCAGCTTCTCCCCTTTCCCATCACTTCATGCACCAGTTCACAACTGGCATTATGAAAGGCGCTGTGTTTGCACAGCTCCCGAGGGTCGGTTGCCCAAGAAGGCACAGGAAGTAGCTTGAGCCGTGGTGTGGGTTTAGGACTGGATAAACGCATCCTTTTTCTATTTTCTCCTCGTTTTATTGTGCTTCAAAGCAACGCAGCTGCCCTGTCACGTTAAAGCCAGTGCTTTCAAACCTTGTGTTAAAGAGCACCGGTTTTAGAGGAACCTGCGGTCTTTTTACCTCACACCTCTCCCACCGGAGCTGGCTACCTCTGCCCTTCCCCCACGGTGCCATAGCGGCTCTGCTGCCCGGCGAACACCGCCGCAACGGAAAGCTCCCCCCTTCGCCCTGCGGTCATCGGTTCCTAGCACAGCTTTACGGCGGGCCGGCAGCCTGCCCCTGCCCCTCCCGCCGTTTGGTAGCTGACCCGTGCCTTCAACCCTGAGGAGGGAAGCAAAAGAAACGGCTGCAGCTCCCGAGGACCAAAAGCCATGCCGCGCGCCCCGCCCCGTCCCGCGTCATATGCGCGGCGTCACGTGCTGTGTGTAGATGGCTGTGGCGGACCCGCTCGCCTGGAGCTGTCGGCCCTGACGGGGAGCCGGTGACCCTGGCCCGGCCCGGCCGCCATGGAGGTGTACATCCCCTCCTTCCGTTACGAGGAGAGTGAGCTGGAGCGGGGATACACGGTGAGCGGCGGGACTGCGATGCGGCCGGGGCCCCGCCAGGGGCCAGGCCGCCGCGCAGGTGCTGGCCTGAGGGGCCGCGGGGCAAGGCCGCCCTGACGTGCTCTGGCGTGTCGTGCCCTGACCCCTGCGGCGCAGGACGAGGGGCTCGGCCTGTCCGGGCTTCTGCTGCCCCACGCGAGCGTCGCACTGTGGAGTGGCAGCAATAGCTGATGCGGCGTAGCCAGCGGGCGGAGAAAGGTGGTGGCTCCTTGCCGCCCGGCCCCGCTAAGAGGCTCATGTGGGTGCTGAGGCCAGGTCAGGCTTAGGGGCTTGCGAGTTCCGAGCTCAGTGCGGAGCCAAACGCGATGAGGGGGCTGGAGCACTTCTTGCGTGAGGAGAGGCTGAGACTGCTGGGACTGGTCAGCCTGGAGAAGTCTCGAGGGATCTCAGCGCTGTGTACAAATAATCTGGATGGAAGGAATAAAGGAGGAGGAGCCAGACTCTTCTCCTTGGTGCTCAGTGGCAGACACCAATGGGCACGCATCACAATTTATGGAATACCATTTAAAGATAAGATGAAACCTTTTTGTTAGCGTAAGGGTAGTCAAGCACTGGCACATGTTGCCCAGAGGACTGTGAAGTCTTCAGCCTTGGATATTCTCAAAACCTGACTGCACATGGTCGTGGGCAGGCTGATCTACCAGACCCTGCTTGACCAGAGGAGTTAGTTTGCACTATTTGCAGAGATCCTTTTGACCTCAGTGGTTTTCTCATCCCATGGAGCTGTTGGGCTTTAACACTTTTCCACCTGTTGCTGGGTGAACCAAAGCCCAAGGCGTTTGACTGAAGATGGATATTCAAAGCTAGCTTCTTCTACTAATCTACTCATTCAGTAGTTCCAACCTATTGAAAAATACTAGGGAAAAAAAGTCTAATTCTGTAGAATTGCCAGAAGATTGATCCATGTAGGCATAGTTGGGTGAAGCAAGTGCATCTACCTGATGCTAATGATGTTTATTCTTTGGCAAGTATTTGTAAGCCTTGTAAACCAGTTTAGATGTGTTAATATAGGAGTGTAACCGCATTAATATTTCTGTTTAGCAGAACTTAAATGTAGTTGGTTCCCTACAACATGTCTGCATGATTCTTGGGAATGAAACCAGCTTTAAAACATTCCAGCTGAGTCTGATTCCAGCATGTCCTGGTTGGGCAGGATAGTTGAAGTGACAGAATTATTTCTAAGATGTGCTTATCACACAAGTAGGATTTTTTGTATCAATATAAATTTTTAGTCTGTTTTAGTGGTTTGGTTTTTTTTTATTTCTTTAATAGCAATTCTGTCAGTGAATCCTGCTATCCAGAGAATTTGTGTTTTTTTAAATCCTATAAATGTTAAGCTGTGTAAGCTTCAAGCAAAACTTTTGAAACACATTTTAAAAAAAAAATTGTTTTTCTAGAAGTCTTTCAAGAAAATGAACTTGCAAGTGAACATGTTTGATTATTGCAGCACTGTTCATTATTATAGCACTGTTCCTCTCAGTTCACTGGTGCTGAGTCACACTCATGGATCTGAAACTTGCTTTAGCTTAGTAGTTTGGTAGTTGTTCCTGCATGATTACTTTGCCTCTTCAGTCAGGTGAGGGAGTTCTATACCACATCCCATACAAAAATTATCGTGCTTTATGCTATCAAGTGCATTAGTTTAGGGATTTCCCTGGCCATGGATCTGTTCTAGAAGTCATATCTCTGGGTGAGGCGTGCTGGTGGGAGAGGATATGGAAGTTTGTTCTGAAAGTAACGTGATATATTTCCTTTATGTTTTGAAGAGCTTTTGGGTTATGCATGAGCAACGCTTATTGTAATGTAATTGTCAGTTTGTGACATTGCTAAATAGTTTACGTAGGTATTGTTCCAAGCATAAAAATTGATGACTGATGCAAACGGGTACGCTATGAATCTTCCCTCCAGCAAAACTGAAGTTACTGAGAGCTTACCCTTGTGCTATACTAGCTTGAAAGATACTGTGTAGGCAGAAATATTAACCTAAGAAAAAACAGTAATATAGGAATTATTTTGCATTGAGCAAAAGGGTGATTTCACTCAGATGGTTAGAGCCTGTGAATGTTTCTGTGTCCAGACCACATCAGCTGTCATTCTTACAGACATCATTATGTGGGTGTTAACAGTCAGAAGCTGTGTGTTTGGTAGGTATTGCTATAGAATATGGGGATTGTAGGGTGTTGAAGTCTTCGTGATTAAGTAGATGTTTCACCCGTTCTGTGCTACCTGAATCTGATGAGTTACAAAAGTTGAGAAAAGTGGAGGAAGTGGAACAATAAAGTATTTAGTCTCTTTGAAATGTAACCTTCAAATTAAAGGGATTGGTGCAGTCCTGGACTAGTGCAGGAGTGTATATGTATATGAGTGAAATATGTTTTTTTCTATGAAATTATAGGTAATTTCTATGAAATTGTAATTCAATATAACTTCTTGTGCACCATCAGTATATAGTATTAACATCTAAACCAGTATGCTGATAAAGGTCAAAGAAATTGTGTCCCCCTGATGAACACAACTGTCAAACTGGTAACTTATAAGGAGAGGGCTGAGGTGCTTAACTTTTTTGCCTTAGTCTTCACTGGCAGTCTCTCCTCCCACACCTCTCGAGTGGATGGACCTCAGGGCAGGGACTGGGGGAGTAAAGTCCCTCCCACTGTAAGAAAAGATCAGATTTGAGAGTAACTGAGGAACATGACCATATATACATCTATGGGACCTGATGAGATGTATCCCAAAGTCCTGGTCCTGAGAGAGCTGGCTGATGCAGTTCCCAAGCCACTTTCCATGGTATTTGAAAAGTCGTGACAGTCAGGTAAAGTCCCTAGGGGATGGAGAAAGGGAAACATTATACCTGTTTTTAAAACTGGTAGAAAGGAGGACCTTGGGAACTACCAGACTGTCACCATCAACTCTGTGCCTGGGAAGATCATGGAACAGATCCTCCTAGAAGATATGTTAAGGTACAGCAAGGGCAGGGAAGTGTTTCAAGACAGCCAGCACAGTTTTACCAAGGACAGGTCTTGCCGGACCAACCTAGTGGCCTTCTAGGATGGACTAACTACCTCAGTGGAATTGCTACAGATGTTGTCTGTCTGGACTTCTGTAAGGCCTTTGACATGATCCCCCACAACATCCTTCTCTCTGAATTGTGGAGATATGGATTTGATGGGTGGACTGTTTGGTGAATGAGGAGTTGGCTGGATGGTCGGATCCAGAAGTTACTTGTCAATGGCTCAGTGTCCAGATAGAGATCAGTGATGAGTGGCATCCCTCAGGAGTCTATATTAGGACCAGTACTGTTTAGTATCATCATCAAGGGCATAGACAGTGGGATTGAGTTCACCCTCAGCAAATTTGCAGATGACACCCATCTGAGTAGTGCAGCTCATTCACTAGAGGGAAGGGATGCTGTTCAGAGGGACCTTAAGAGGCTTGAGGAGTGCGTTTGTGTGAGCATCGTAAAGTTCAACAAAGTCCAAGTACAAGGTCCTGTACCTAGGTCAGGGCCATCTCCTGTCAGTACAGAGTAGGGGATAAAGGGGTTGAGACCAACAGTGTGGAGAAGGGCTTGGACGTACTGGTGGATGAAAGGCTGGACGCAAGCTCATAATTAGAAAACCAACCATATCCTGGACTGCATCAGAAGAAACGTGGCCAGCAGGTCAAGGGAGGTGATTCCACCCCTCTACTTTGCTTTGGTAAGCCCCACCTGGAGGATGGCATCTAACTCTGGTGTCCTCAGCAAAGGAAAGACATGGACCTGTTGGAGCAGGATCAGAGGAAGGCCACAAAATGGCCAGAGGGATGGGACACCTCTATTAAGAGGAAAGGCTGAGAGAGTTAGCATTGTTCAGCCTGGGGAAGAGAAGGTTAGAGGGAGATTTTATTGCAGCCTTTCAATACTTAAAGGGGGCTTATAAGAAAAATTGAGACTTTTTACAAAGTCCTGTTGAGACAGGACAAGGGGGAACTTAAACTGAAAAGATGGGAGATTTAGTTAGGACAGAGGAAGAAATTGTCTATGGTGAAGGTGGTGAAACATTGGAATAGGTTGCCGAGAGAGATGGTAGATACCCTATCCCATGAAACATTAAAGGTCAGGTTGTATGGGGCTCTGAACAACTTCATACAGTTGAAGATGTCCCTGCCCATGTTAGGAGGTGTTGGATTAGATGATTTTTAAAGGTTCCCTCCAACCCAAACCATTCTATGATTCTGTGATCACAGGAGTACTACTTTGCACAGTTGATCTTTTACTGTTCCCTTTCCCACAACTGCTAACTTGCTTAGAATTAAAATGTATTTTTGGAGTAGCTGAAACAAGGAGCTATCAGATTACATGATTAATAGCAGGAAAGGCTGATGGAACTTGGGGCAGATAGATTATTGGTCATGTGCTGGCTCCCCACCAGTGCAGTAGCGTGCCAGGGGGTTGCAGAGGATGCCTTCTGCACTGTGACTGTCAGAAGCCACTGCAGAGAAATAGGGCTGAAAGATGGGGGTTTGAGAAGTGTGGCCATCAGGTCATCCTGGTTTCTTTGCTAGAAACAATAACGGTCGTGACCTCCTGCATTATTTAGAGACTGCAGGAAGACCCCTTCCTCTCTGTGGTGGCTCTGCATGGCTACCAAAACATGCTTTCCTGATATCTCTCTGTTTCTGCTTCCTTATCTATAGCAGAACAGAATCCAGTTCCTCTTGGATTCAGCTTGCCACTGTGTATTTTCACTTCCTGGAAAGTCACAAGAAAGAGTGTTAGTCCTTTCCTTTAAAGAAGCTTATTACCAATTTTAGTGGTTTGTTTTTCAGCTTGCTTTCCCTGAAACCTGTTTTCAGATGATTTTCTCCTTGGTATAGCTAGAACACTGGGAAAGTGGAATGAATAGAGACCCCTCAGCCACTGTCTAGCCTTAAAAGCAGAACGTAGAATGCAGTTCTGGAGAGAGCACAGAAGCTACTTG